GGAAAAGGGAACCTTGACTGTTGGTGAAAATGTAAATTGGTGCTACCACTCTAAAAAAAAAGTAGGGAGGTTTCTTAAAAAATTAGAAATAGAGTTACTATATGATCAGCAATCCCATTCCTGAGCATATATCTGGCAAGGACAAAAACTATTTCGAAAAGATACATGCACCCCAATGTTCCTCACAGAAATATTTACAATAGCCAAGACATGGTAGCAACCTAAATGTCCATTGACAAAAGAATTGAGAGAGAAGATGTGGTTATATAAAATGGAATATTGCTTAACCATAAAAAGAACAAAATAATGCTATCTGCAGCAACATGGATACACCTAAAGATCATCATACTAAGTGAAGGAAGACAGAAGACGAATATCATATGATATTGCTTATATGTGAAGTCTTTAAAAAGTGGTATCAGTGAACTTATTTATAAAACAGAATAGAGTCACAGATGTAGAAAACAAACATGTGGGTCACCAGTGGGGAAAGAAGGAGCAGTAAATTGGGAGATTGGGATTGACATAAATATACTACTATAAATAAAGCAGATAACACGCTCCTACTGTATAGCAGAGCAAACTCTACTCAACGATCTGTATGGCCTACATGGGAAAAGAATCTAAAATATGTATTTGCTTAGCTTATTCACTTTTAAAAATGGTGGAAAAAAATAAGATAAAATAATGAATTTTTAAAAAAATAAATCTTTTTAAACTCCAAGTTCATAAAGATATCCTCCTCTAAACTTTTCTAAAAATAGGTTTCTTTTTAATATTTAGGAACATGATGTCTGTATATGTGTGTGTGCATATGTGTGTGTGTATCCATATGGTTGCTACTCCATATCTCCTCACATAGGCACGTAGGCCTCAGCTTAGAAATAGATCCAGTCCCTGAACCAGAGGTTGCTTTGGTTTAGTTCCTTCTCAATCTCCTTTTCCTGAACCAGGAGACCTCCTCTGGGCACTGCCCAGAGGTGAGAGTGGTGAGAGTGCTTGGGTCCTCTCTGCCCTGCCAGAGCTGCCCCCTGCTGGCACTCTGCCCCCAGACAGTGCCCAGGCTCTGGTTGGAGCCCACTCATTGCTTTGAATGCCTCTCTTAGTTGGATCTATTCAGTTCAGTTCAATTCAATCACTCAGTCGTGTCTGACTCTTTCTGACCCCACGGACTGCAGCACGCCAGGCTTTCCTGTCTATCACCAACTCCCGTAGCTTGCTCAAACTCATGTCCATGGAGTCCATGATGCCATCCAACCAACTCATCCTCTGTCATACCCTTCTCCTCCTGCTTTCATTCTTTCCCAGCATCAGGGTCCTTTCCAATGAGTTAGTTCTTCACATCAAGTGGCCAAAGTATTGGAGTTTCAGCTTCAAAGTCAGTCCTTCCAATGAATATTCAGGACTGATTTCCTTTATGATTGACTGGTTTGATCTCCTTGCAGTGTAAGGGACTCTCAAGAGTCTTCACCAACACCACAGTTCAAAAGCATCAATTCTTTGGCACTCAGCTTTCTTTATGGTCCAACTCTCACATCCATACACGACTACTGGAAAAACCGCAACTTTCACTAGATAGACCTTTGTTGGCAAAGTAATGTCTCTGCTTTTTAATACGCTGCCTAGATTGGTCATAATTTTTCTTACAAGGAGCAAGTGTCTTTTAATTTCGTGGCTACAGTCACCATCTGCAGTGATTTTGGAGCCCAAGAAAATAAAGTCTCACTGTTTTCATTGTTTCCGCATCTATTTGCCATGAAGTGATGGGACCGGATACCATGATCTTCATTTCTTGAATGTTGAGTTTTAAGCCAGTTTTTTCACTCTCCTCTTTCACTTTCATCAAGAGGCTCTTCAATTCTTCTTTGTTTTCTGCCGTAAGGATGGTGTCATCTGCATATCTATTGAGGTTATTGATATTTCTCTCTGCAGCCTTGATTCTAGCTTGTGCTTCATCCAATCCAGCATTTTTCATGATAAATAAGCAGGATGACAATATATAGCCTTGACATACTCCTTTCCTGATTTCGAACCAGTTTGTATATGTAGAACACTCTGGTATTCTACATAAGAGATATATGTGTTTCTTTTCTTGTTCAGCCCATTGCTCTTTAGTTTTCACTATTTTCTGTTGCCGAACATAAACCCAACTGACTCCATAGCAGAGAGACAGTCAGGCAAAGTGTTGAGAAAGGGGATTCCAGTTAGCAGTCATGAAGTTGGAAAGACCTTGGTTTACTTCAGGGACTAAAAGAAGATCAGTGTAAATAATGCCTAAGGAGTGACTACACATGATGAGACAAGGAGATAAGAGCAGATCCTTCAGGCTCCGGGTTTGAGTTTATTCCAAGTACCTCAAGAAGTGTTAGCATAAGGTCAGTGGTTTCCAAACATTTTTGTTGGCCACTGAGTCCCTTCTTCAAATAAAATGTAATGCAGATGCAGAAAACAAATAAATGCAGAGCTGTTCAAGGCAAAAGCTGGAATCTGGGTCTCAGAGCCCTTTGCTCTCACTCCCAACCTCAAAGCAACCTCCCGGCTTCTTAAGCAACCCAGGAGACCCCTCAGACTCTTGAAAATATGGTGCAAAACATATAGAACTGAATGGTTCACAGTGTTCTTCAGGTAAACCAAGCACTTCCGGAGAAACATGAGACTTCCTAGTATTGAGACCAGAGAGAAATTATTCCTGTGGGTCCTCACAGAAAGGAGTTGGTAATGACTTGTCAGCCAAGGCTTCATGCCAGAACACAATTCAGAGAAAGCAATTTTAAGGGCCAAGGAGAGGATAGCAGGAGTGGAACAAAGTAAAACAAAGCCACCCAGCTATTGTGTCCTCCCGTGGACTGGCTTAATCCAGGACAGCCTGAGCCTGGCCCTGGGATGCTTTTTGTCTCTTCCCACCCAGTAGGCCTCTATCAAGCTCAGTCTCAGCCGCAGTCAAGGCTGCTGCCTGGAAGCCCACTCTGACGCCGTCAGCAGGGGCTTCTCACAGGGCGGGTACCTCCCCGTGCCAAAGATTTCCATCACACACTTGTTAGGCCTGCAAATAAATTGGCAACACAGCTGAATTTAATCTTTTAATTCCCCCTTGAGAACCAATTTCTCCAAGCCATTCCCATGTAGACAAAAAGATTTTGTCTCACTAAACCTGTTTATTGACCAAAACTGTCGCCTCTGCTCTGACCGCTGACCTTATCTGAATATTCAAATCTATTACAGATCGCAAGTTCAAATGATTTTGGTGCCCTCTGGAANAGTCTTTAGGGTTTTCTATGTAGAGGATCATGTCATCTGCAAACAGAGAGAGTTTCACTTCTTCTTTTCCTATCTGGATTCCTTTTACTTCTTTTTCTGCCCTGATTGCTGTGGCCAACATTTCCAAAACTATGTTGAATAGTAGTGGTGAGAGTGGGCACCCTTGCATGACAGCAACTTTCACTTGCACTTTGTTCTTTCCACAAACCACAGTTGAGAGCACATACACAGACAGTAAAAAGACCACCAACCATGAAGCATCTCAAACAAAACAATAGAACTGGAAACAAAACAGAGATAAAATTCTTCGACACTCCTTGATTTCACTGTTAGATTCTTCCCCTACTTGTCTCTGTGAACCTAACTTCATAAATTGTCCAGATGGATTACTCTACTCTGTCATGCAAACAGTGATAAGTTTCAATATTGTAACTACTCCCACATTTTTACTAGCACAAAGGAAGTAACGACTCCCAGTTGCACAGGTTCTGAGTTATAGTGACCTGTAGAGGGTATACATGTGAGCAAAAGCTCCTGATCACATGATTTTGACATTTTTATGTTCCTGCATATAAGTACCAACCTGCCTTCACAGTAGTGAAGTTTGAACTCAATTAACTCTAAGTGTCTTAAGCAAGAAGTTAATACCTCTGTTAACAAAACTACTTATCAAATCTTTATATGTATAAAATTATCACTCATTTATTCAACAAATTTATTTATTTATTTATTCCAATTTAGTAAGTGCTATATAATATAGCAATAGGCAATGTATTTAATAATGACTTAATGACATAAAAATATTACTTAATGCTGATGCATGCTAGGACTTGTAATCCTTGATCAAATCACTTTTCTTCCCTGAAATTTAATCACAATGTAGCTTTCTGAAAAAGAAAAAAAAAGAATAATAAAGAATACTAAGACTAGCTGTTTCAAGTGACAAAGTAAACTTGACCTAGTTTTGCTGAATTTGTACTTCATTGTTCTATTATATTATCCCAAATTCTATCTGAGTAACTAACCTAAGTCTCTTTCCTTCCTCAAAGGAGAGCACTAATAATGTATTTCCCTATAGTCTTTCTCCTCCAGGGCATTGTCGGGACCCAGGGATTGAACCTGCATCTCTTAGGTCTCCTGCATTAGCAGATGGTTTTTTTGTTTGGTTGTTTGTTTTTTTTTTTTACTACTAGCGCCACCTGGGAAGTCCCTCTTATATCTACACCATCCCTAAAAACTGATTTCTGTAATTCTTCATTCCTGGATAGGAACTAGAAGGTTCTTAGAAACCTCATATAGTAAGATGGTCTCATCTTAGTCATGAAAGAGCAGTTTGAAACCCTCCACCTGAACTATGCCGTGTCTCTATTTTCTAATCTACAGTGTAAAGAGAAATGTGGCTTCAGATAAACTGTTAGTCATAACTAGCCCTTTATCATTCCTCCAGATTCTTAAAGGATAATAAATTCTATGTCTTTCCCCTATCTTTTTTAAGGACAGAAAAAATGTAGTTACTATTGGCAAACTTTTAGTCACTGCTTTTATTTTCTTCTGACATTAATGAATAACAATTGAATCAAGAACCAAATTAAAGTTTAGCAAATGAGTTCTCATCATACAAATCATACTTTCCTGCAAGTTTTTAAGAGCATATTGCAAATTCTGAAGATAGTTCACCTCAATAGCTTTGAGTAGGGAAAGTAAAGTAGAAAAATGGTGACCCATGTTCTTTATCCCTCCAGGTTTTCAGAGTATGGGATATACAGACTCTTTCATTATTACAAGTGTTCCACGATAGCCAGGGAGGACCAGGAGACATGCAGATTTACTGTATGATATTTGATCCCAGTCATCGCGTGCTTATTACAGGTAAGTGCCCTCAATTAAGGGGCTTCCCAGGTGGCACTAGTGGTAAGGAACCCACCCTCCAATGCAGGAGACATAAAAGACATGGGTTCTATCCCTGGGTTGGGAAGATCCCCTGGAGGAGGGCATGGCAACCCAATCCAGTATATTCTTGTCTGGAGAATCCCATGGACAGAGGAGACTGCCGGACTATGGTCCACAGGGTCATGAAGAATTGGACACAAATGAAGCAACTTAGCATGCCTGCACCCAGTTAACGACAAATAAAAGCTTGATTTTTTTTTTTAAATCTTTTTTTTTTAACTAGCACTTGATCACTGACCGGAAGAAAAACAAAACTAGATGGGGAATTTATAAACTGTGATTCCTCACAATAGATAACAGAATTCAATTCTATTTTTCTATAGCTTTTTATTTTTCTACAGCTTGGTGGATGAGGTCTTGACCCGAGGATGCCAAGTGGTGGGGTTAAAGCTGCTGCTACACATAGGCAAATCCAGCTCTGCATTGAGTGTTGGAGCAGGAATATGATCCATCTTATTGCGCTCTGCACCAGCGTGCTGAGTCCGTGCCCCCTTTCTTCAGGGAGGCTTTGGCCCCATGTACTCTGGTGCTGAGACAGTTACTCAGTGGGTGGGGTGTTGACCCTCCCACCTGTCTTTGCTTCTAGACAAAGACCAGTGAAGAGAGGGGATAGGGTTCTGAATGACAGTGCCACCAGCACTGATGCTGACAGATTTTTTCTCTCCTTTTCCTGCTGCCCCTGATAAACATGCTTACTAAAGAGACAAAAGACCCTGTTAGGCATTTGGGTTGAACGTTACTCACATGCATATCCTCAGAAGAAGCTTTAGAAGAAATGAACAGTATTAACAATAGTTCCTCTTTCTGCAACACCAGCCCAGAATGCAGTTCCTACTGACCACCTTCTCTGAGTTCCTGTGGGATTAATAGGGCAGAGAATGATTGGTGCTATCTCTGCTGGTGGAGAATATGAACTATTTTTAACTTTTAGGTGTTTTCTGGATTAGAAGTGAACTAGAACTTCATGTTTGATAGATAATTTTCTACCTTTTAAAACAGAAATTAACTCTAGTAGTAAGCACCCCTCCTCTATACTATCTCCTCTAAGAATAACATAAAAACAACTACAAACAAGTTTTCTCTTAGTGCCCCAACTTGCATGTTTGATTTACTAGGCTCAGCATTTCCATCCCATTTAAGCCTCAAGTATCAAGGCAAAAGCAAAAACACAAAACACAACCATAAGATCAAAATTTCTTCCTAACTTCATGTAGTTTGGATAATACTCTTACAACAATATAGAGCTCTGTGTATTGCTTAATCTCTAAAATCACATACATTGACTACAACCATCAGTGTGACATCAGAATTGCATGAAGCTTAGCTCTCAGATTTTAATCTGTGCTTTTGTTCAAATGAAGCAGCCATAGTAATCTTGTAAACCCCAGGGACAGCAACACCACATTATAGAATATGCTGTTGTTACAGCCACCGTTGTTGTTTTTGTTACTCTAATAAGACAACTACCATTTGATTAGTTCTTTTACAAAGTGCTTTCATGGACTTTATTTCATTTGATCTGCACAACCACCACTGAAGTAGGAATTATTGTTCATCTTATTTTATAAATGATAAAACTAAATAGTAAATATTTCAGCTGACTAGTATAAGGACGTTAGTTGAGATATACAGGTGGGATTCAGTACCAAAGTTTCTGACTCCTGGATCTACTTTCTTTCTCTGTATTGCTTTGTTTCTATACTGCTAAATTGTATATCTAGCCAAACATGGAGTGGATTGCCACTTATTTATAAGCATATCTAGCTTTGTTGTCAGTTCAGATAAAATCCATTACAGTCAGTAGAATATGAAGGCGCTCCATGTGTTGTTTATCTGGTTACCACATCCCTCTCAGATTTCCNGGATTGCCACTTATTTATAAGCATATCTAGCTTTGTTGTCAGTTCAGATAAAATCCATTACAGTCAGTAGAATATGAAGGCGCTCCATGTGTTGTTTGATTATCTGGTTACCACATCCCTCTCAGATTTCCCTGTTGTATTTGAATTGAGAAATACTACCAGAAGAGCCTCCTCCATTCTCTTTACACATGAGTAGACTTTATCTTAGAATTCAAACACTTTAGGAAAGTGTTCAGTAACTCTTGCTGAAAATTTTGCTGCAATTGAGATTTCTATGGAGAGACTTGAGAAAAAGAAGGGCCAGCCTTTGGTAGCTTAATCTCCATACCAATAAATTAGGGAAGAAGTTTCATTTCTGTTTGAACTGTGGAATGCTTTGAGATCCTTGTATATATTTCTAGACATTACACTAAAACAAAATACACAGTTGATTTTGAGAGTTAAATCATACTTGCAGTTTATAGGATTACTGTAAAAGCAAACCAAATGCCCTGATGAATGGACAAGGAAGTTGTGGTACATGTACACAATGAAATATTACTCAGCTGTGAAAAGGAATGCACTTGAGTCAGTTCTAATGAGGTGGATGAACCTACAGCCTATTACACAGAGTGAAGTGAGTCAAAAAGAGAAAGACAAATACTGTATATTAATGCTAATGTATGGAATCTAGGAAGATGGTATTGATGATCCTACATACAGGGCAGCAAAGAAGACACAGACGTAAAGAACAGACTTTTGGACTCGGTGGGAGGAGAGGGTGGGATGATTTGAGAGAATAGCATGGAAACACATACCTTACCATATGTAAAATAGATAACCAGTGTGAGGTCAATGCATGAAGCAGGGCATTCAAAGCAGGTGCTCTGTGACAATCCAGAGGGATAGGATGGGGAAGGAGGTGGGAGGGAGTGTTCAGGATGAGGGGGACACATGTGTATCTGTGGCTGATTCATGTTGAGGTATGGCAATAACCATCACAATATTGTCATTGTTCTCCAATTAAAATAAACACATAAATTTAAAAAATGCAAGTAAGAAATACCTGCTCTCCATCTAGTTCACTATGGTAATTTGCAAATTAATCTTATTTAATATTGTTGCAAGCACTGGCTTGCAGTCATTTTCAGGCACTACCTTTAATAAGACCATGCTTTGTCGCTGCTGTTTAGTTGCCAGGTTGACCCTTTTGTGACCCCCCCCTGGACCGTAGCTGGCCAGGCTTCTCTTGTCTATAGGATTTCCCAGGCAAGAGTACTGAAGCGGGTTGCCTTTCCTTCTCCAGGGGATCGTCCTTACACAGGAATAAAACCCTCATCTCCTGCATTGTGTAGGTAGATTTTTTGACCCCGGAGTCACCAGGGAAGCACAGACCATGTTTATAGAGTGCTTTACTATTCACTGGCTGAAACAGCTTTCTAACATATTTCAATCACTAAATGGAAGGTTTCCATCAGCAAAAAGGTGGCCATCATCTTTATTACTGTACACTAGATACTGTAGCAGGCACTCTGAAGAAGAAAAAAACTAGACTATAAAAAGTCGGAGAATAGTGGTCACTGAAAAGAAGATATCAAGGAAGTCCAAATGCCCTACACTTGAAAATTAACGAAGCCCAAAATGAATGCTTTTCTCTGGCTCAATCATATTTGTTTTATTAGTCAAAGATGTTTTTGAATAAATGAATGTATTTTTACCTCATTCGGTCTCCTAGGCATTAATAATCTCACTGATCAGCTATTTCCAAACACAGTTAGTTGAATAAAATGCTTCATGGTTCAAATCTCCTAATATTTGTTATTTATGAGATTCTTATTTCTGTTCAAGGATCTAGTGTTATGGACATGTATCCTTTAACTAGGATGATACAAGATACAAAACAGGTCCCTCACACCCATGAACGAGAAATCAATGTCATGCTTTACAACAAATATTTTCACCAAGTACTTACCATCTGCTCTGAGTCCATAATTAAGGTGAGTACATATTGACTCCTCAGGAAGAAAAAAGCAAAGATAGAATTTTCTCTTCTTATAGATGCGTCTTTGAGTGATTAAATAAAGGTAATGGCATATATGATGGAACCTTATGTTAGAGCTATTTTTAAGCTTTCACAAATACATGAAAAGTAAGATTTTAATGCAACTCAGACTGCTTGCTGTTAGGCTACAGGTTCAATTTTAAAAATGAAGCTAGTTCTTACGATTAAAACTGGAATTTTAAGGGAAATATGTCAAGGAAAAAAGCCTAGTGTGTGCATGTGTGTGTGTAAAAAATTTTTAAACTGAGCCATAGGAAAGAGACTGCTGAAAAGAAGGAAAAGAAATGTATAGATGTTTACTCTAACCCCTATAGGTGTGGGGTATGTGCCAAGTCTCTTAAATCCACAATTTTGTTTAATCCTCACACTAGTTCTCTGTGTGAAGTTACATTTAAAGATGTGGAAATTAGGATTCAAAGATCAAGCAACTTGCCTCAGTTCATATAGCTAGTAAGCGTCATGGCTGGGATACAAACCCAGCTTTGTCTGAGGTGAATACCAACGTCCTTTCCTCTGCAATCCTCAGGTCATGTCATTAATGTGTTCCCTAGAGGCCAGAGTTCTGGATCATCCTAACTGTATTTGTATTTACGACCACTAACTTCATCTAGCAGTGATGGCTGGAGGTGTTTGCCTGAAGTGCTTATCCTTTTATTTCATGCATGCTCTCCAAAAGCAGACATAGGGAGCAGGAGAAAGCATTTCTCAGAGACTCCAAATTCCCTCTCAACCTTTGACCTTCTGTGCTCATCTGCTGGAGATTTTCTCAGACCAAAATCTCCTAAGTTCATGTAATTATCAGTTATTTCTAATAATGCCTACAGAATAAGTAGAGGGAAACTAAAACCCGGGTGTCTTCATGAAATACTGACCTCTTAAAGGGAAAGTGTCTTCCTTGCAAGGTGGGGAGGGGAAACAAAGACATCTGGGTGAATTTTCATACCTGACTGGCTGGAGACAGATCATACTTCAGGCCAGGAAATGGGTGGCCCCTGAGACCCCTTACTGTAGTGGTCCTCATTCCTCATTCTCCCTTTAGGACCTCATCTACACCCAGGGGAGCACAGAGGTTAAGAGCATGGGCTTTAGGGCCAGCCTGACTTCATTCAGATCTTGGCTCTGCCACAGCTCAGTCAATGGCCTTCTGTTATCTGGTCTCCAGACCAGTGATTACACCAGCTACATCTCCTCCCACTCTCCTTCTTTCACTCCTGCTGCAACAACTGACTTTCAGTTCCCTGGAGGAACCGTGCCCCTTCCCATCTCTGGCCCTTTGTTTATGCAGCCTCTGTTTCCAAATACCTTGAGTTCAAACTGTGTTGCCAGTTCAGTTTGTTTTCTGGAAGTCAAATAGACACCTGAAGTTGGCAGATCCATGAAGAAAGATTCAGATCGAGACTGCAGGTCTCATGCTTCTGCTGCATTTCTAAAGAGATAGTGATGAGCTTTGACATGTTTCTAGGTTTTCTGATTACGCCCAACCTTCTCTGAAGTCTCAGCCTCCCCCGCCCTTCCTCCCCTGTTCTCCCTGTTAAGAACTGGGCCCATGTCCTTAGTCAGAACACTCCTTGGAAAGGTCAGTGAGCCCCTTCCTCGGGTTCTGTCCGATTTCACACTGTTAACTATAGATTCTGTCCCATGATCTCTAGATAATTTGGATGAATGACAACAGAGAATACATTCAATTTTATTTCTTTGTCTGCTGACTTCCTGTTACATTTCTAGCCTGCTGCTAAGTTTGCTTCATGCTGAGAGTAGCATCTGACTGCTTCCTAGATAGACAGGGGCTGCCTGGAACAGTTGTGGCTTGTCTCATCCCACCTACATATATATTACAGAAACACTCTGGGGTAGCACAGTGACTACTAGACAGACTACATCTTTTAGACCTTTCTTTGATTAAACCAACATTCATGGCAGAATGCTGGAAAAGATGTTAGGTATGCCCTGTGCCAATTTTGAGGCTATTTTGAATATTGTAAAACTGATGAAAACTGAAGGTCTTATGAAGTATTTTATTGTTCTTTCTTGTAGGTATGGGAACTTGAAACTGGCATCCAAATATACCAGATTTTAGACCCTCATGGCTTCAATGTTGAACTGACTGCTGCAGCTATCAGTGACAGTGGATTTCTTTTTGCCACGGGAGCATATAATGGTCAGACTAATATCCAGAATAAGGACCCCCTGCTTTAGTGTCCCAAGAATTTGTTCTAGGATCTTGTCACAAGTTGTTTGGGGTAGAGGGGAAGCGTGAATCAAGCTGGAATATGTAAGCATGCCAGTGAGACTGCTGTGCCTGACAACAGTGCTAGGCTCTTCTCTAACAGGCATTAATGTCCTGATATTGATGTTAATCATAATCAATACCTTACTTCTATAGATGCTCTTCAGCGTGCAAAGTCTTTCATACATACCATCTCAGTCCATTTTGACTGAGACTTATCTGTGTTGCACTGACTCATTCTGTTCCTCTAATTTTGAGTACCATCAGCTAAGAGTTATTACTGGTGTTTAGTCGCTCAGTCATGTCCAACTCTTTTGTGATCCCAACCATGTACTGTAGCCCTCCAGGCTCCTCTGTCCATGCTATTTCCCAGGCAAGAATACTGGAGTGGGTTGCCATGTCCTTCTTCAATGGATCTTCCCTACCTAGTGATTGAATCTATGTCTCCTGCATTAACAAGAGTATTCTTTACCACCGAACCACCAGGGAAGCCCCATCAGCTGACACAGACATTCTATTTAGTGCTTTTCATAATATTTTTACTGAAAGTATGGGACCAGATAAATTATCCATCCAACTTTACCATATCACATTTAGGATTCTATATTGGACTTGTTTATAAGTCTAAGATGCTTAACGGCATATGTCATGTCACCCCTGAGAGGATGTCATGCTCCAGCTGGGCTGTGTCATTTGCTGTCATGAGAGTTCATAGAACTTGTTGGAAACAGGCCTTCTTTCCTTTCACCTTACCTTATTCTGAAGTCCCATGAGACAGACAACATGACTTAGACAATATGACCATCTGTGTCACTATACATATAGAGTGATTCCCCTCTCCAGGGGATCTTCCCAACTCAGGGATCAAACTCAGGTCTCCCACATTGCAGGCGGATTCTTTACCAGCTGAGCCACCAGGGAAGCCTGTATTTCTTCTAGGAATATATTTACTAGATAAATTCTTGTTTGTAAGCCAGTTGATGGATTGAGTATCTTGAGTAAAAGAGTTTTTAAAGTGTGAGCAGATAACAGTATACATGAAATAATGCTGAGTTGATGGGGTGTGAATAAATGCAACCTGAGGTCACTCTAAAAATCCATGTTAGAAGATAATTCTCTACACTGAGTAATGACCTAGAAACAGGAATTCATTAAGTATGCTATTATTTAAACTGGCCCTTTCACAAGGATCTCCTACATGAAAAAAATTAATTAGAATGTATGATTCCAAATGTAAGAAGAAACTTGACACCCTTTTTGCATTCCTTTTTATGTAACCAACAACTCAAAACATTTTGTTTTCTACCTGCTGGAATTCTTTTACTCCTTTTATTACCCAATAGGATCGAGTTCTAAAATATGTTAGCACCTTAGGAAATGACACTATTGGAGTGACCTTTTAATGTCAATAATCACTGTGGCATGATTTTAGATAGATAGATATTGGAGAGTATTTAGCAAACTGGAAAGCATTGGGATAATAAAAGCAGAAAAGACCCAATGAAGACAGAAAACTCACACAGGAGAGTCTGAGAATTTCAAAGAATATGTTCACAAATTTCAAGACATTGCCTGGTCCTGTTCATTTTTTATCAGCCTGTGACAATGAAGGCATACAGAAATATATTTTGTACACAGCAAGGCTAGGGAGACTCATGTGTCAGTCTCAATAGGGAATAAACAGGATAAATTCTAGCAGAAAGCTTTCAATTAGATTGATTTTCCCTGAGATAAAAACCATTCTTTCTAGAAATGACTTTTGCTATCGAATCTTTTCTCTGTGTGTTTAGGAACAGTTAAAATCTGGGACTTTGGCAGTGGACAAGAGTTGAAGGTGTTACCAGAAGGGAAAGACTGGAAAGAGGAAGAGCACTGGCTACAACGCCTGATTTTCCTGAAAGCTCAAGAAAAATACCAATACTTGCTCCTCTCTTTGGAGCGCAACGGAAAGATCAAAATGATCCAGGTTTGCAATCTCATTTCCACGTACTCTATGTGCTCTTCTTGGGAAAATCAACTGAGCGTGGATAATCCGCATTTAACTCTTCCCTTGCCAGCCAGCGGAGGATAGTATTTCTCCACCAGCCTTCCTAGGACGTTCCTAATTAACCTTGCCCATGTCCAAGCAAAGAGCAAAAAAGAAGAGCTGGTCGACACTGCCCATCCAATGTTTGCAGAAGGGATTAGCTGGGATCCTTCTGGAGTAAATATCAGAAAGATTAAATTTACATACAGCTACCACCTCTGCCATGGTTTATTCCCTCATCTGAGGATAACTCACTGGCAGAGCTGCTCCCCAGTAGGCTTTATGAAAGGGAGCAATGATTCCTCTCTGAACCGTATAACCCATAAGGCATTCAGGGATGTTCAAGTCACTTTTTCAGGTTGTCATCCAAACTGCTTTGTGTACTTAATGGTTAACATGGCAATCTGTTCAGGGATGTTTTGGAAGGATTGAGGTAGACTAAATTTATTCTTCCTGTGTGTCTTTCAGCACCTAAGCACACTAAAGCCTTCTTCATACTTAAAATGAAAACTATATCATTTACCCTGGCTGCTGCTGCTAAGTCGCTTCAGTCATGTCCGACTCTGTGCCACCCCATAGACGGCAGCCCACCAGCTACTGAGTGGATATTTCCCTGCCTAGAACTCAAGGATTCTTTGCCCTTATTCTTCCCCTTTTGAAGATAGGAGTGAAAAACTTCCCTGATTCAACTAATCTTTCTTTGCTGTCTGAGCAATCCAAAATGGCACTCTACTAGAAAAAAGTTCTTCAGTGGAAAGAAATAGTTATACATTTCTTTTAAAAGATTTTCTTTGTAATTCTGCCATGATGAGAATGTGGAATTCTTACTGATCGACACAATTTCCTCAATATATAAAATGAAACACTGAGAAACCTGGTTAAAATTTGAATAACATAAAGACCAAAGGAAAAAGATTAATGTTCTTTTAGATAATTGAGACACAGTCAAGGAATCAACACAATTCTATTTAATTATGTATTAAGTAATTTGTAGCAAAGTGAAAACAAGTTGATAGCCAAGTCAATACATGACTAAATGAACATTTAGTCTGATTTTTCTTTTTTTCTGCTAAATTGACAAAATAAAGCAATAATTTAAGTATCATCTAAACATAGCCACATTCCTTCGGAAAACAGAAACCACAGGTAGCATTATCCTTGAAAACTGGGCATAAACACTTGTGGGTTTTCAGCCTATGAAGGAAGAACCTAAAAGATGACACAAAGCAAAGAGGTCATTAGGAAACTGTAACTTTGGGCCTAAATAAAGTTTTGGCTAGAGATGGACTAGTCTTTCTTATAGCTTACCATTTTTTCAATGGATGGCCCTAGACTGAACATTCTTATTCTTTATTTCCCATTTTTTTTTACCACCTGGTCCTGACACACACGTGCAGACCCCTTGCCCCAGCTCATGCAGTCATTCATGTTGACAATTTTACTTTCATCAGAGCTTGGTCTACAAATCTACTCAATTAAATGATTCCTCTCTGAACCGTATAACCCATAAGGCATTCAGGGATGTTCAAGTCACTTTTTCAGGTTGTCATCCAAACTGCTTTGTGTACTTAATGGTTAACATGGCAATCTGTTCAGGGATGTTTTGGAAGGATTGAGGTAGACTAAATTTATTCTTCCTGTGTGTCTTTCAGCACCTAAGCACACTAAAGCCTTCTTCATACTTAAAATGAAAACTATATCATTTACCCTGGCTGCTGCTGCTAAGTCGCTTCAGTCATGTCCGACTCTGTGCCACCCCATAGACGGCAGCCCACCAGCTACTGAGTGGATATTTCCCTGCCTAGAACTCAAGGATTCTTTGCCCTTATTCTTCCCCTTTTGAAGATAGGAGTGAAAAACTTCCCTGATTCAACTAATCTTTCTTTGCTGTCTGAGCAATCCAAAATGGCACTCTACTAGAAAAAAGTTCTTCAGTGGAAAGAAATAGTTATACATTTCTTTTAAAAGATTTTCTTTGTAATTCTGCCATGATGAGAATGTGGAATTCTTACTGATCGACACAATTTCCTCAATATATAAAATGAAACACTGAGAAACCTGGTTAAAATTTGAATAACATAAAGACCAAAGGAAAAAGATTAATGTTCTTTTAGATAATTGAGACACAGTCAAGGAATCAACACAATTCTATTTAATTATGTATTAAGTAATTTGTAGCAAAGTGAAAACAAGTTGATAGCCAAGTCAATACATGACTAAATGAACATTTAGTCTGATTTTTCTTTTTTTCTGCTAAATTGACAAAATAAAGCAATAATTTAAGTATCATCTAAACATAGCCACATTCCTTCGGAAAACAGAAACCACAGGTAGCATTATCCTTGAAAACTGGGCATAAACACTTGTGGGTTTTCAGCCTATGAAGGAAGAACCTAAAAGATGACACAAAGCAAAGAGGTCATTAGGAAACTGTAACTTTGGGCCTAAATAAAGTTTTGGCTAGAGATGGACTCGTCTTTCTTATAGCTTACCATTTTTTCAATGGATGGCCTTAGACTGAACATTCTTATTCTTTATTTCCCATTTTTTTTTACCACCTGGTCCTGACACACACGTGCAGACCCCTTGCCCCAGCTCATGCAGTCATTCATGTTGACAATTTTACTTTCATCAGAGCTTGGTCTACAAATCTACTCAATTTCTAGAGAGATGAAATAAAACCAAACTCATCTCCACCCTCTTATCCCTTGGAATCTTTAATTGCTGTAATGTTTAAAAAATAAAGAAGTAATAAATAAAACAAGCTCACTTACTACCTAAAAATGTGGCACTGTAGAAAGGAACTTCTTAGTAATATACTCTCAAATGTGACAATGTATTAATTTCTCTGTTTCAAGTTAGTGTAATCCCAACAGAGAAAATCTGCTATTATAAACACTCCTTTTTAAAAACTGCAAAATGTAGCATGGTGCTGTTCCCATGTCAAAATTGCTTTTAGATCTACTATAGCAGTTTTTGCTTTGATTATTTTTATTTTTTATGTCTCCAGAACTCCATAGATTGAACTTGATGAGGACTGAAAACCTCTCATTCATATTTGTATTCTTGCTCTGCCCAGAGTAGGTGTTCACTAAGGATTGACAGAATGAAGAAATATAAGAAACCCCTTGTAAGGTATAGAATAGTAAATCTATGGGGCATTTTAGGGTATTTTATTAATGTTGGAGGGGGGGAATTTACAATAAGGATAATGTTGAAAACACCTATTATTTTTATTATTATTGATATCTTATTATTTGCTTATCACTTATTATCTGCCTATTTAAAGTAAAATATGGTTTGATTTACATACTTAATTTTTTGAATACTTTCATTTATTCACTAATTTTTTTCAGTATCCATTTACCAAATGTTTACCATGAACCAGAAAGATATCTCCCATTTCACAATGGAACTTATAATTTAATAATAAAGACTGATATTGATCCACCTGTTATATGTGTTATGAATGCTTGCACAAAGTGCTATAGAAATTAATGATGGCAAGTGGTGCCTAGTCTAATCTGGGAGTCAGGGAAGACTGCTTTCCTCTAATTTCCAACTAAACTCAACACAATTCAAGAAATATTTTGTGTGCTCCACATACAGTAGGTATTTTTCTAAATCCCAGGATTCTATATTAGATAACTACTCAGGAAAGTCACTGAAAACCATGAAACATTGTGGATAAAATATTTTCTAAATCTCCTAGCTGGTATTAAAGAGATGATAATATAGTAAGTAAATAGCAGACCAAAATTTTAATGCCTCTGTGTGTTTGTGCTTAATCGCTCAGTAATATTTGACTCTTTGCGGCCCCATGGACTGTAGCCTGCCAGGCTCCTCTATCCATAGATCTTCCAGGCAAGAATACTGGAGTGGGTTGCTGTTTCTTTCTCCATTCATGAGTTACAGGACCTTTTATTTGGTCTATATGTAACTTTACTGTCTTGAAGTGACAGTGCTGTCAATGAGCAATCCAAAACTGGTCTTTTTCCTTTGTAAGCAACTTAATCTTTCTGCAAATTTAGAAGATGTTATCTTTGTCCTTGGAGTTTAAAGTACATGCCTATGTGTGTATCTTTTCTCATCAGTTCCACAGGAAACTCAGTCTGAAGTCCTAGGTATTTCTTCCAGCTCAGGGGATTTTCATTGTATTATTATTTGGTTCTTAGATGTCTCTTTGGCATATGTTTCTTTTTCTAATTCAGGAACTCATATTATTTGCATATTCTGTTCAGTTGCACAGTCGTGTCTGACTCATTAGGTCTTCTGAATCTGTCCTCCAGATTTCTTATATTTTTCCTCTGTTTTTGTTGTGTTTTAGCTTTGCTGACTTTTGAAACATTTCTCTACTGCTAGGCTATTAGTTTCAAGTCTCAGACAGGCACTGTCTTCTTTAACTCATCAACCAGATTCTTAAACTTGAAGATCATGTGTTGGTTTTTGCTTCTGTTTTGAACTCCCATGCTTTTGAACTGTGGTGTTGAAGAAGACTCTTGAGAGTCCCTTGGACTTCAAGGAGATCCAACCAGTCCATCCTAAAGGAAATCAGTCCTGAATATTCATTGGAAGGACTGATGCTGAAGTTGAAACTCCAATACTTTGGCCACCTGATGCAAAGAACTGACTCATTGGAAAAGACCCTGATGGTGGGAAAGATTGAAGGTGGGAGGAGAAGAGGACGACAGAGGATGAGATGGCTGGATGGCATCACCGACACAATGTACATGAGTTTGAGTAGGCTCCGGGAGTTGGTGATGGACAAGGAAGCCTGGCGTGCTGCAGTCCATGGGGTTGCAGAGTTGGACACGACTGAGCGACTGAACTGAAGTATTGTTTAGGTTTGCTCAAGTTATCGTACTTCCCAGAAGTTCTAGCTACTCTGGGATCTGTTCTGCATGTTTTGTCTATTCTTCTCTCTAGATTCTAGGCCCACTTAACTACAGTTTTTCTTCTCAATGGGCTTTGGCTACTAGAAAAATGCAAGAGGTGACAATCCCAAAGTGGGGATATACAGCCATGGTGCTCTTGAGGGTTGGGGTTCAGCATTCCCCACAGCAGTCCTCTGTTGGTACACCATCAGTAAAGCCTTTCTGCTGCCCATTCTCTCCCCAATTTCAAAAGTACCAAAGGCTGTTACACACTTGTTCAGCTCCTCCTCTAAGTCTTTGGAAGCAAGGAAAACTATGCATAAACCATAGTACACATTGCCCCCTCCACACACACCTCTGGGGATTTAAGGATCCGTGCAGATGAAACATCATGCTCAAATCTCATCCTAGGAGTGTCTCTGAATAAGAGTCCCCCCATGTCCTTTCTTGGTAAAATGAAATATTAGTAACCCTAAATCAATCTTTTAAAAGATTTTTAAAAATTTAGTGTTCTGTGAATTCAGAGAGTCTGAGAGCTGCTATCTGAAATTGTTCAGCTAAAACCAGCTAAATTTATTAAAACCACTGTAGCCAATTTATCTCATCAAGGGAGCCCACAACCCTAACCAAGCTATTGCTCAGTATATCAATATCTGATCACTATTTGGATATTGCTGAGATTCCTTCTATTTCCATCATGGTGCAAACACTAAAGAATCAACTAGTATATAGAAGTACCATTGGTTCACACTTTTGAATTAACATACGTATGAGATAACAGAGATGTTAGATCTATACCTAGAAACATAAAGGTTTTAAAAATAGGACTTTTATCTATGAACTAAGGAAAATAAGGCCCCATAAAGATATATACTTTGTCCAAGGTCTCACTAGAACTAAGACTGGAAACACATTGTCATCATGCCTAGAACCAATATTCTCTTCGTTTTACCATACTGCCTTTCAACCTACAAAGATCCTGCTCTGCCAGCAAAATAACCTTTAAAAAGTAGCTTTTATTCCCATATAAAAATGGAAAATTCTAAAACTAAAAGCATCTCACCAACAATAACCAACTAGAAAACAGGAAAAATAATGACAATAGCAAATAAAAGTCAAGGTACCTAAAACAAATCCAGCAATAACATACAAGATTCTTGTAGGGGGAGGGGATCTTAAAGGACATAAAGACAACCTGAATAAATGGGATATCACAAAGATATCTTCGCTACAGTCAAATTAAAAATAAACACATGTCTTAGAAAACAAAGTAGAAAAACAAATCAGAGACTGTGGGAAGACAAATGCACCCCAGGAAAATAAGATCAGGAACCAGACTATCAAAAGAAACAACACAAATCCAGAAGAAAAGGAAACAGCCCAACAGAAAAATGGACAAAGAACAGATAAGAAGATCAGATGGCTCAAAAATACATGAAAAATATGTTCAACTTACAAAATTAGGGAAATGTGGTTAATGTAATTAATAAATTAAAAAAATTTTAAATGTCCTATTTTAAAACTATCAGATAGCCAAAAATAATTTTTAAAAAATCAAATGAAACCAAGTTTTGACAGAATGTTAAGAAAGAATTGGATGCACATATCGTACTATTTAATAATTCTACACCAGGTACATGCACTAGAAAATATGCCATTTGTCCATAAAAGCATGCAGTGAAAAATTCATAGCCTGAACACTCACCAGTAGGAGAATGGATAAGTAAATAGTATATTCATACAATACTATAAAGCAGTTAAAAATAAATGAACTAGAGTGCCATGTAATTACTTGTATAAATCTCAAAAATAAATTAAGTGAAACAAGCAAGGTGAGTAAGAATCCACAGAGTTTGATACCTTTTATAAAAAGGTTAGAAGCCTGAAAGCAATATCAGATCATGTAACGTACATACGAAAAATGTTAGACACTAGGTCATGTCTGACACTTTGTGACCCTGTGGGCGGCTATAACCCCCCAGGCTCCTCTGTCAATGGGATTCTTCACCTACTGCAGTGGGTTGCCATTTCCTTCTCCAGGGGATATTCCCAACCCAGGGATCAAACATGGGTCTCTTGCATTGCAGGTGGATTCTTTACCATCTGAGTTGCCAGGGAAGCTATATATATGACTAAAACCTGAATATGGCATGTGGGTATAAACTTTGATGACTAAAACCATATTCAGGTTACTAGTTACCTCTAGAAAGTAAAGAAGAAAGAGGAATTATATTAGGGAGGGACAGTTAGAGCTTAAGATCTGATAAAGCTGAGTGGTGAGTATATCACTGTATGTTCTATTTTTCTCTATGCCATTAAAACAGCTCAAAATAGTTAACTGAATTTTTCATGTAATCACTGGATTTCTATTAAAGGGTAAAGAAGATGATATTTACCTTGCGGTGATATGGGAGCTGCCTGATGTTGTGCCTGTCCTACAAAATGGGAATCGTATTGTGCATCTAAGTGTGTCTACTAAAGATAGGAGCATGGCTATTCCCTTCCCAGATGTGGAGTTGATAGTTGAGAAAAACTTTTCTCAACGTGTTGGTGTAAGTTTCTTCTTGAACTTTTTTCCTTTTTATTATGAAAAATTACAAACATATACAAAAGTAGAGAAAATAATACAATGTATTTTCATGTACTGTTAGCCAGCTTCAAAAAGTGTATATTATGGCCAGATTTTTTCCTCATTATTTCTACCACTTCTCCATGACCACTGTCAATGGATGGATTATTTTGAAGCAAATCCTCAACATTGTGAAACTTTATCCCTAAATATTTCAGTACGTATCTCTAAACAGTAATGACTCAAAAATAGAACAATGGTACCAGTATTTTCTCAAATATTTTCTAAAATAATTTATAAGACATCTTTAATATAACCACATCACAGTTTTCAATTTTCCCAGATCTTCTCATACAATATATATTTCTTACAGCTTGTTTCAATCAGAATCCAATCAAGGTCCATTTATTGCATTTGGTTGATGTCTCTTTAAAGCTGTAATTATCTTTCAATATCTTTTTTCCCCTTGTAATTAATTTCTTGACAATACTGGACAATTGGTGCCCGGTTTCTCATTTTCCAGATTTTTCTGATTGTATCCTTGTGGCAAATTGAAGAGGTTCTTCTTTACTTCCTTTAATCTGGTAGTTATATCTGGTACACACAGCTTTGATTTAAAAAAAAAAGACTCTATACTACATGGAGGTCACTACAGTACACATGTCATTACCTCCATCAAAATTCACATAATATTGTTTTTTTGGGAGGGGGCGATGTTAGCAGTGGTTAATGATCACTACCTAGGTTTATTATTTCATTCAGAGTTGCCATTTTACCATTCTGATTTATTTGTTAGCTGGAATGTGTCTCTAAATAAAAACTATTATCAACTATTTAGTTACACCGAGGTACAGTTCAGATAGGAAATCAAAGTAACTGACTGATTGTTTTCTTACATTTATCAGTATTCAAAGTAAGAAACTGGTTCTCTAGCATGCTACAAAAGTGGTCAGTGGATTTTATTTGTTTAGTATCATTATCAGATCACAAATTTAAATATTCTTGATGTGTTTCAGTCTACTGCATTATTGATTAATTCTCAAATTATCCCATCTCAAGCTAATTGGACAGTTCAGGTTTCTGAGTTATTTTGATATGACCCTAGTAGTTCTGGATAACTTTCAGGTATGACAAGTTTTTAGATTAAATATTTTTATGTACATGCCTCATTTGTCTATTCTTTGTTTATATTTCTATCTAGATTTTTCTTTTTTTCTAATGTATTAAAGAGCTCTTTATATATTAAGAATATAAGTACACACATATATGTATAAATAATTAGGAGTATGTATTAGGAATATCAGTCCTCTGTGAGAGAAGTTTCAAATATTTTTTCCCATTTTCTTATTTGTGTTTTCACTTTGTGTATGGTCATTTTTGCCACGGCAATGTTAATTTCTGAGCAGCTTGGTGTAGATGAGGTTTCAACAGTTTATTAGAAACTACTCTTGGAAATAATCACAATTATTCTTTCAACTCCACTCAGGGAGTCCATTAGCATTTCATGTTTTCATCTATCTAAAAATAGCTAGGTTGTTTTTAACATCTCCTAGATTTTAACAAGAAAGGTAAGTTTGGGGTCATAGCAAGAGGTCACAAAATTGTTGTTCACATTTTCTGGCTAATTATTATTTCACCATGTTTACATTATATGATTTAACTAGATTTTCCAATATCAGTTAATAAAATTTTAACTTTTTGTTTTCAGCTTTTATTTTTTAAGCTTCTTATATTGCTCTGGTGATATCACTTATTGATATCTGGTTAATTTTTTCTTGCTGTTCTAAATATTGTTTTAAAAATCTAAATAAGGAAAATATATCATCAAACTATTTTTGTTACAAGATATTCTCTGATTTTCAGAACTGTAAGAAGATTGAAAGAAACCAATATTGTTTTCCACACACAGATAAAAAGAAGCATCTTCTGACAAGTCCTTAGTAATAGATCCTTAGAATTACAGAACCAGGGTCCTTAACTCCCTAATTCAGGATCCTTGAATTCTCTGTCCATGGGTAGACTTCCAGGGATATAAAAAGTCTTTGTAATTATATATAAAATCTCTTTTCTGAAGAGTGTATGGTTCATAGGTTTTTCTTTCTCAACATTTCCTTATGAAAAATTTCACAAATATAGAACAATTGGCAGCTTTATAAAATGAGCACCTATAAAACCCTCCACTTAAAAATTACTCCTTACAAATATTTTGCAATATTTGCTTCATTGCATATGTAGTTACATATTCATCCCCTACTCACCCTTCAATCCACCTTGTTTTTAAAATGTATTTCAAAGTAAGATGACAATTTCAGTACATATCCCTAAATACTTCAGTATATGTATCTTTAACTAGAATTTACTATTTATATTTTTTAGTAAAATTTACAAATAATAAAATACACAGAATTTAAGTGTGCTATTCAATGAATTTGAATAGGAATATATTCAAAACACAATCCAAACCCCCTCAAGATAAAACACACTTTCATACCCCTACCAATCAATACTTGCCCCTCACTCAAGACAACTACTTCTCTAATATTTTTTAGATTTGTTTTTCCTTCTTCTAGAATGCTATGTAAGTTGAATCATACAGTATATACTTAAATATTCTTTAGTAGGCTTTTGAGATTTTTGTATGTCACTACATGTATTTTTAATGATCACCTACTATGTATCCTGTCCTAGGGGTCATTAACTTACTGAGTTCACTGGGCAGGATGTGGGTTTCATGCCAC